ATTTTTTCAAAGAAAGTTGGCTCACAGTTTTGCACTAGTGTTAATCCTCGTCGCCAGTGTTGATGCCTTCGAAATAAATCGCATCACGAATCAAATCACTCAACGAATTGTATCAGTTTGATACGCTTGTGCTTTTTTCATATCCATAACTCTAAGAAACGCTACATCCGGGTCCTTGACCGGCTTAGCATAAAAAGCGGAATCTTACAACAGCGGAACGAGTAGTTCAAAAAAGTTTTAGAACAGTGAATTCATTCAAATGTCAAGTCAAATTAAACAAATAGCACACTTATGAGGGGACTTTGAAGAAAAGAGAGAGAGATAAATTAAATCAAAATTTATCAAATGACGTCAGTTCAATGCATTCAGCTCACTGGTCAATAAAAAATAAATAAATAGAAAATAAAAATTGAAAATGAAAGTACCATATCTGGCCCAAGTCTGGGCAGCATCTGGCAAAATGTGGCATAAATGCCAGACTTTGCCAGACGGCCCAGATCTGGCAAGTGTCTGGCAAAATGTGGCATAAATGCCAGACCTTGCCAGACTTGGCCCAGATCTGGCAAGTGTCCGGCAAAATCTGGCCCAGATATTGCCAGACGTTGCCAGATCTGGGCCAGACGTGGGCCAGATTACTGAGGCTGTCTGGGTATGTTTAAGTTTAGCAACAAGAAATATCAACGCCGATATTTTATATTTTCGAGGAGATTTTTTTTTTTTTTGTCAACACAAAGATATATGCATTATTGAAAAATTATGTGCACGAAAAACCTGGTTTTCGACATTTTGATGATCACAAACCCTGTCAGTACCCTTAAGCTGGGACCCAATTTATTGCATCATAATTTTAAGGAAAGGAGACTAGTAGATTCCAAAAGACACATGGGTGCTTGTAATCAATGGTACATGACGCAAGTACATGTAATTCTATCACTTCATATAACTAGTTTTTTCATCCATTCAATCAGTAGGCCCCTATACATGTACATTGTCCTAAAAAGTCTCTTCAATTGGAAAAATGGGGAAAACGTGGGAGTTCGTGCATGAGGAGCACGTCCATCGTGCGACTTTTGGAGGACGCAAACAGCACGTAGAAACTTTTCGACATGATCAACAACCGCTACGTGCGATCTAGCTACGTCCTAGCCGGACGCAAGGAACCAAAAAAAAAAAAAAAAAAACGTGCGTCCAAAACGTAGTTGGGACCTAGGCTTAACTCCGTGCGAAGGGAACAAGTTACGCTTGCGGTCTCGCTGTTCGCAGGCTATTCGTAGAATCTTTTGGACATGTCCAACATCCTCCGTACGTGCTTACGGGCTGTCTGCGAACTCGAAATTGCGTTAGAAAGACCTGCGTGGGACGTGAGATTCTGTGCAAAATTTGGACGCAAACAGCCCGTAAGAGCCCATACGGCCGGTTGTGACCGAGGCTTAAGTTGTCTTATAGTAAGGTCCAACTTGCGGTCCGTCTCCTTCGCCACAAACCGCGACATTTGTCCTTGCGATATTTACCTCCGCCAGAAATGCTATGTTTTGTGTTCATGTTGATTATCTGTCTTATTGTCCGTTCGTCTGTTAGCAATATTGTGGATAAAGATGTATGCGGATTTAGATGGAGTTATCAGAAACTGAACCAAGTAAGAAAAGATCAAATTCTGATGGTGATCCAATACTTTATTTATGCTTAATTATCAGTTACTTGTAGGCCCGTTTAGAGACATAAGGCACAAAGCTGGTGGCAGAAATTTGTGGGCTGTATTAGGAAAAGGCCACATTTTGGTGATTGGTTAATCAATAAGTTAACTTTTTAATAGATAATTAACAAGAATGAGAATTGAGCTGTCTCGACAGAGGTTTGCACTCTCTGAGTGCTTTTCTAGTTCGATACATGTTTTACTTATGAGTAGATATGTATTTCAACACATGCACTGTTGAATGTTCAAAGACTGTTGCTAGTATACGAAAATAACCCAAATCACATATGGCATATCACACAGAAAATAACCAACTTTTTTGTATCATAAAATCCTCAAATACATGTATATGACTTTGGTCCACTAGTAATTGCACATTTGTAAAGATGGCAGATTTCGTTAAATAATTTTTTTTTGCAAAATCCAGTGTGAAAAATTGTTCAATAACTTGAACGTCTGACGTCATAACTTTTAGATCATAGAAAAGAATGCCGACCCGGAGACGACATTGCTGCAGTATCTGCGTAAAATACGTATCCTTTTGGACGCGCAACATACGAAACCATCAGTGCATGAAGTTATAACGTAGCGTGAAATCATACTCTAGCACTTAGCGCAACCATAACGATCATATTCAGTTAAGCCGACAGCACTCAGCAAGAGACCCCACAAAGTTGGATCGGTGTACGTGGACCGATTGTGTCTCTGGGAATGTGCCCTTTCTCGTCTCTATCTCTTCCTTGGTACAAATATTTATGTATCCTTTACTCCACGTATCAGTGCGTCTTCCTGGCACCAAACTTGGCTGTGGACAAGGCGGGTGCGGTGCATGCACAGTGATGATATCAAAGTATGACCAGGAGCAGGACAAAATATTGTATCCTTACACGTTACTGTTATTTCCATGGGTCTTTCCTATGAAACCTTTATGATAAGTTGATTTTATACAGATTTATTTTCCCTAACTGTTGACTTGTCATTATGCATCCAATGCGTGTCTTGTTCCACTATGTTCTCTCCATGGCCTCGCTGTCACTACAGTGGAGGGGATTGGAAGTACGAAAACGAGGCTACACCCAGTTCAGGTATAGTGTGAAAAGGAAGAAGACGTACTTTGAATAATAATTTTAAAAAAAATTAATATCCCTGATACATCTTTCATTCAAAAACAAACGTACTGGTATGGTCAAATTGAAGTTGTATATAATATTTTAAAAAATATTGTTTGGCAACTGTAAACGGTTACATCTGATATAATAATAATAATAAGCAAGTAATAAACCTTGGAATTATACCGGTCTTCAAGAAAAAAATTATCACTGAGATCTTTAGTAAAGCCTTGTTGCAGATACTTTGCCTTACTTGAAGTACAGTATGGGGTTAATCTGTATGTTATGTAAGGAAGCTGTTTTTTTATGACGATATCATTTGTGATCTTAGGAGATAATAGCCAAGTCCCACGGCACACAGTGTGGTTTCTGTACACCAGGAATGGTGATGTCAATGTACGCGTTACTAAGAAATAAGCCAAAGCCAACAGAGGATGAAGTGGAAAACATATTCCAAGGTACCATGTCTCATTGCAACCCCACAAATGAATATGTGTGCACTATTTGTTTGGATATTTATTATTTATGCTATAACATTACGTTATTTAAATTTACTCAACATTAAATGCTATATAATAACGTTATACTATTCTTTTACTAGAGAGACCTTTCAATAAAAGCCGCCACTACCGGCCAAATTTCGAACACTACACTTGTGTTTGTCCTTTATTTATACTTTCGCTTCCGTTAATTAGGAGACATAAAAACCACGTATTCCAATCCTTGAACAGCTACGGTTTTAAAATGTCGATCCTTTTAGGAAACCTTTGCAGATGCACTGGCTACAGACCTATCCTTGAAGGGTTCAAGACTTTCAGCAAAGACGAACCCTGTTGCATGGGATCCAAATGTTGCAAAAACCAGACAAGTAACGAAGAACATGTTCTTGATGTCGCTGAACCATGCGACTTTGTGCCCGTCGATACGACTCAAGAACCAATATTCCCCCCTGAATTAAAAGTAAGCGTAACAATGTTTATTCTGAGAAATATTGAATTTACATTTCGTCGGTCATGTCTAGTCAGTTTAACCCCGTGTCGTGTTACGGTGTGCAAAATAAAATGTTGCACAATTGGACCATTTTGCCTTTTTGTTTTTACTTTTACAGATTTCGAATGGGTTTGGGACAAAATTTCTAACGTTCAAGAGTGAGAGGGTTACCTGGTTACGGCCTGTGTTCTTGAAGGATCTTCTGGAACTGAAATCCAAATATCCCAATGCTATGATTGTTATTGGAAATACAGCTGTTGGTAGGTGAAAAAGATTCTATTCCATCCTAATATTACATATCTTGTTACATATTTGTGTTTTGTAAAGAGATTTGTCAAAGTTAAGATGGTTGTATTTTAATGTATTCCAGTAGGCTCCATAATAGGGACTCGATAAACTCGTTATAAACTCGTTATGTATTGACAATACCTATGGCCTTCTATATATGTGGGTAGAGAGGGAAAACGTAGATGGTGTTGAAGGTTTTGTTATCACATGTTCTGCTTTGTCTTTCTTGTACTCCTTACCAGACTGCGTGACGTAAATTTTATGTAAAAGCTCTCGCTGGATCTTTTTTGTTTTACTATTAAATAAAACCAACTATTTCTACCCGGTAGAAACCCCTTCGACTTCACACAGCTTGAAACTGTGCGTAGTGCCCTGTGCTAAACGCACGTGACGCACGGATGATCTGTCTCCACTCATGTCTGGTAAATAAATCGCGTGATTTGGAAGGGTTTTCCAAAACTGTGCACATGAAAATCCTACAGTGGAACCTGCAATTAAGGTCGAAACATTTAGCTATTTTGATTGCCATGAAAGGGACTTGTCGGGGACTTGCTCAGATTCACATTGCTCAGGGTCACAGCGCAGAAAGGTGTGCACAGTTTGGCTGGCAAATATATGTTAATATTTAGCGATATATCAATCTTTGGCCCTGGTATAGGTACGTTTGTTAGCATTTTTTTTTTTGTATTCCAAACAGTTGTTCGTTTATGGATATTGTTCTACTAACCCAGGGTTGGATACAAAATACAGAAAAGCACATGCCCAAGTTATGATTGCTGCAACACACGTGCCAGAATTACATGAAGTCGCAGTGGATGACACAGGGATCCATATTGGTGGCGCAGTTAGCCTTGCCAGATTTGGCGAGATTTTGACTGAAACCATCAGGGATATAACAGGTAGCCAATACATGAAGAAGTTCAAGAGTTTCAGCGTTTTTCTCTTAATACAGTATTCTTCGGCTCCGAAGTGTTTGAAATTGTATACACTTTGATAAAATGGTAAAAATGAAACCTCCTTAGGTTAATATGTAACAAAAAATTAATTTTATGAAAAAAAATCACATTATTTATTGGTCATTTAAACCGGTCATATAATCTTTAGAAAGTGTGACCTTGGTGTATTATTTTCAAAGCCAATGTCTTTGCAGAATACAAAAACAAGACCTTGGTAGCCATACAGGGAATTGTTAATGGGATTGCAGGACATCAAATTCGTAATGTAGCCGTGCGTCTCTCAGACGTTTCTTTTCGATTTATACTGTATAAAATATACACGCGTTTTGTTTAGAAAAAAACCGATAGCTGGTAAACTATAACAGACAAGGCACATTACCCAGAATAAAAAAATACTATGTATTGCAACAAAACCCGCAGCAAGATGGGTTCTTTTGACATAATTACCTGTAAGAGATATGTAACCCGATAAACTTTTTCTATTTCATAAAAACATACGTCACACTTGAAAACCAAATTAATTTCAGTCTTTGGCTGGGAATATTTTGTGGACACATCACCATTCCGACCTCGTCCCTCTCCTGATGGCTACGGGATCCACGATAACCCTGATGTCGCAAGGTACATGAATTGCAATCTCTCCCCATACCAACGGACGCAAGAACCTTATGGTTTCATGCTAAAGGCGATAACTATCTTCTTGCTCGGCAACAGTTATAGTATAGGCATATTGACCACTATTGACATAAATACTGTCATATGAAGAGAAACGTTCTATGCTTTTAGTGAACGCCAACAATTTAAAAATATTGATGAGTTTTGTTTTTCAAGTTGCTTAGTGCTTTAAGGATATTGTTACCCTTCGCTAAATTCTCCTTATTTACTGCTATTGGATAACATATAAATCTTCTATCCTTAAGAATTTGCTTCTGTGCATGAGCACAATGTACAGGTATATTTTCCAATGCATATTTTTATGTACATGGTTAAATTTTGATTTTTAGAGGGTGGCCAGAGAATTGCTTTTTTGGACGACACTTTTTACACCAGGCGCGGAAATTGGAATATTAAATCGGATGAGATCTTATTTTCTGTTTTCATCCCTTTTTCCAAAAAGGTCAGCTATATTTTTGCCTTTTCAGGGCATAAAGATACAATTTGATAGTTTTTCCTAGTTTGCGTTAAAATATACATGATGCACTGAAAAGTTTCACCGCTTCACATTGTCAGTGAGAATGTTGATTTTTAATTACGTCATACTGTTACTTATGTCGTAGGTGGAAAATTTTAAGATCAAATTAAAATATGATTGAAATTTTTCCAGAATGAATTTGTGTTCGGATACAAGCAGGCACAGCGCAGAGAAAATGCAGCAGCAATAGTGAACGCTGGGATGACAGTCCTGTTTGAAGATGATACCAATATTATTAAAGAAATGTCAGTTGCCTTTGGTGGCATGTCTGAAACATCTTCGTTGGCCCTAACAACATCTAGGAGAAGTGTTGGAAGGTACTGACATGGTTTCTTAACTTACCTATGATTAAATACGAGTAGATACGGGACAGACCAATAGCAGTTTTCCGTGAACGTATGTCACTTTTTGTGTTTTGGGGTATATTGGGTAGTTAGTTACTTTGCAATTTTATTGCTAAGCCTACTCTTTCATGTATAAAATAAACAGGTGAAAACATGTAGGTTAGACAGTTTGCTTTCCATTACAAATGGAAAAATGTATGCTATGACCAAGGATGTATACATTTTCTTATAATTTTCAGGTATCCCATTTTTGACGTTCAGGTGAAAACGTTAGAAATTTTTCAAGAAGTTTTTTCTTCTAATCATCTGTTTTGCAAGGACCTATTTGAATTCGCGACTAACCTTTATTTGGTCTCTGCAGATATGTCAGTCTTGCAGTCTAGTTATAACACTATTTTTGCTAATTTTCCCTTTCTTGTGTCAGATTAACTGCAAACTAAATTGTGTTAGAATAACCTGTAATATTTTCAGAAAATGGGAAGATCAGCTGACATCAGATGTAGTCCAATGGCTCGCGGAAGACTTCCCATCACCACCAGAGGGCATTGGTGGTCAGATGGCCTATAAGAGAGCACTGGCTTGCAGTTTCTTTTTCAAGTTTTTCCACAGGGTGCAATTAGAATTGTGCAGAGGGGTACATTCACAATTTCTTACCTACGGTACATGTACACATTTGTAGCTGACCAAAATAACTAGTTTGAAAAGAAATCTAGTTTAAGGGTAAAATATGTGCTACGTAGTTAGTTAGGTAAAACACCAACACCATTTGCATTTTCTATATTCTGTTTGTTGCAATCAATATTAAAACAGGCATAAAAACAATGTGGACTTACAAAATCATACTGAAAATAAATCACTGTTTAAAGGATCTACGTAGTACGCATGTATTTCATGACTCAATAAAAACTGATAAAAAGATTTCGTAAGCTATTCAACATTTTAGCCTGGGATGGAAGGTGCAACAGTTTCACCCCGGCACACACTGGCACTTCCCAGTCTGCCACGTAGTATCAGCCGAGGTACACAGGTGTTTGAGGAAGTCCCTCCTGACCAGCCAAAACATGACGCCGTTGGACGCCCACTGCAGCACAGTGCAAGCTTGCAACACGCAACCGGAGAGGCTCAGTATTGTGACGACATGTCACTGGTTGACGGTATGTTTTGAAGCTTTCGGTTGTTTACCAATGTGGTGATTTTTCTTTCGCCATTTGATGATTATTTTTATTATTTTGACTAAACTGGGGGTCAGCAACACGTTTTATTTCGACCCCCGGTCAGGTCATTTACCGATGTAAGTTATCTGTTTTTAATCTATCTCTGTTTCACATTTGAGTAGGTGAGTTGCACTTGGCATTGGTGACCAGCACCAGAGCCCACGCCAAGATCCTCTCCATTGACACTAGTGAAGCCCTTGCTTTGCCTGGAGTGGAGGCATTCTTTGGCCACGAGGATGTACCAGGTTCCAATATAAGGATGGTTCTGTCATCTGGGGAGGAGATATTTGCTTCAGAAGAGGTACTGTATTGGTTTACTTGTACATGTATCCAGTAACTTGCTGAAATGGGATTAGATACATGTATTTTACAAAAGGCTGTCGTTTTTTTCTTTATATTTGTTTGTATTGCCGAAAATGCGGTAAGAATATAATGTTATGTTGACTGTGGGACATTGGTTTAATGGCACAAATTATTGTAAAACCACCATTGCAATGATTTATAGAAGTAAAACCACCATTGCAATGATTTATAGAATAAAGGAGGGGCTTGAAAGGAGGTTAATTTCATATTTTTCCGAATATTTAATTGTTCAAAATCACAGGAATTAGTTTCCTTTCTGATTAGTTCGCCTCCCATCTTAAAATTTGCTGTTCATATTTAATGTAGGTGACATGCTATGGGCAGGTGATAGGTGCCATAGTGGCTGACACCAAGACACATGCGCAGAGAGCAGCGAAGGCCGTAAAAATTGAGTACGAAGACCTTCCAACAGTGTTCACAATATCGGTAAGATACGATGGAAGTAATTAAGAGTTTAACTTTATAGTAATAGAATGTTTCTTTGGATTTTGGAGTAGAAACGAAAACAGAGTGAAAAAAGTCCACTTTTTGAACTACAGTTAAGTTTTTTCATCAATTAGCAAAATGAAAAATTTGGAGCAATATGAGCAAAATTGCTGCAAACTAAAAGTTTGCGGCAACGAGTTTGCAGGAGTTTGCAAGAAAAATTTACTGCAAATTTGCAAGAAGGAATTAATTGCAGTTGTAGCAATATTGCATCAAATTTTGCTGCAAATTTGCAGCAGGTCTGCTATTTTGCTTAGGGAAGTTACGGTATGTAATTAGGGTTTAAAAATTAACAGACGGCCAATTTATAGGAAGCAATTGCCAAAGAGTCTTACTACCCACACGAAGCGAAGGCTGTCATCAAGTCAGGTGATATAGAACGTGGCTTTGAGCAGGCTGACCACATCTTAGAGGGGGAGATCAAACTAGGGGGACAGGAACATTTCTATTTGGAGACGCATGTGGCTAGAGCCGTACCTAGAGGGGAAGATGGAGAAATTGAAGTATTTTGTAGTACGCAGTCTCCGTCGACTGCTCAGGTAATGTTACAATGTGCCTTTCAATACTTACCGCAGGCCCGTAGCCAGGGGGGTTCGGGGGGTTCAAACTGCTGGAAAAAGGTCCACTCTGTGTAAAATTTGACCTACAGGTGGTAGGTACATGGGGATTATATGGTAAAAGGTCCACTTTTTCAGAAAAAGACCCCCCCCCTTTGAAATTGCTAGCTACGGGCCTGCACCGTATTCGTGATGTGTGCGGTTTAACGAGATTGAACTCTTTCGATTTAAGCCCGTTTAGACTACAGTTACCTCTTGTTGTCAAAGGACACACTCTTTAACAACTGTCTAGAAAACGGTGGAGTAGGTACAGTAGGAGCCAACAATTAAATTTTTTTTATTTTGTCTATATTTCTCTTTTAATTGGTGTTGGAATCCTATATATGCTTTAATGAGTATTTTTGATTCTTACATTTCTTGGAAGGCAATTGTCGCTAGAGCCCTTGGCTTACCGATGAACAGAGTGTGTATCAGGACAAAAAGGCTAGGTAAATATTCAAGACGTGTAAATCCTCAGACCGAGATAAATAACTTTTCACTTGGATAGAGTAATTGATCTTTATGCTCATTCAACAATTAAGTTGAATAATCTTCTGGGTAAACATAGCTGTGCGTAGCATACACGTATATGTCCAATGGTATGGTGTACCGTGTTTGTGACATGTGCATGTAGCATCTATTCTGTGACCTTATAAACCTTGTTTCATTTTGGCACTTTGTGGCAATGTTATTTTTGGCATTTGTATCTCTACAGGTGGGGGTTTTGGAGGAAAGGAAACCCGTTATGTGACTCTGATACCTGTAGCTATCGCTGCTTTCAAGTGAGTGGAACCTGACTTTCTCGTCAAAAAATTTGTACTGTTATTTAGCAATTTATATACGTTTATAAATACAGAAACGAGCGTTTACCATATTTTGGAGATATATGTTTTAAATCTATGTGTATTATGAACAATAGAAAACATCCAGAAAGCTAAGAAGTCAGTACATGGATAACAGGACTACGCATATATTTACATGCGGTCGGCGCGTTAGTTTAACCTAGGCGAAAATGGCCCAGACAAATATAACTTAGTTGATTGAACCTTGTTAAATACTTTTTTCAAACAACTGGACGTAAGTAATTTTGGTGATAGCACCAACAATACTGCATATAAATTGTCACTAGAACATCGATACTACTTTTCTTATTTTTTAAAACAGTTATAGGGCCGTCCTAACAACACATTTATCTGAATGTTTAGTTGTTTACATTTTATTGCTTGCCATACGGGTTAAAATAAGTTTAGGCCTTACAGTTTTAAGGTGCAAGATCCCAACACATACATGTACGGGCATAAAACGTTGATGTACTAAACGTTCTTCTCTACGTATATATGAGTTTGTATCCGATGTTGCCGCTTCAACAGCATGTTTCGATTGGCATTCAAAGCTTGTTAAAATGTGAAATAGCATAACCAATTATCCCGTACACTCTACAGATGTTTTAGTTGGCAATCAAATAAAATGAAATACAGAAGACACTATGCAAACCGACGCCATGCAGTGTTATGTCATGTCATCATGTGGCATATGCTGTTTTACACAGGTTGAACCGACCAGTCCGTGGTATGTTGGACAGAGACGAAGATATGCTGATATCAGGGGGACGACATCCTTTCCTTGGAAAGTACAAGGTTTTCTGCCATTTGTTTAGAATCTATCTCAGTTGCTAGCTGAATCCACTGTCATTTTGGACTCGGAATGGCTTAATTCTTTAAGATTCAAAAATTTACCCTCTGAACTACATGCGCGGGTAAAAAATATATTGAAGATATCCTGTATACGTTGGTGTGCATCAGACAATGTTGTTGATTTTTTAAAAGGTTTTTATGAGTTTCAGGCGTATTTCAGCAACTCAAATAATTACTTTTTGTTTGTGTGAAACAACTGTTGTGATTCATTTTTTATAGATAAATGAAATGATACAAGTAGGAATTGGTTTTATCTTGTCTTTAATTGTTCATGAATCGAAATGCTTGTTTTAGGTTGGCATTGACAACGTTGGTCGTTTCAAAGGCTTGGAGGCCAGAGTTTTCTTGAATGCAGGAAATACTTCTGATGTGTCACCGGAAGTGAGTTCTAACTCCTGAATGTTTTCTATATTTATTGCAAGATAAGATACTGATCAAAAAGGGAATTGTATACATGTAAATGACTGCAAAATAAGTGTGTGATGTTTGTATACACGATGTAATATATTTCAACACATTAATTTCTGTACTTTTTATACTACAGGTCATCAGTGCATCACTACAGGGCTTTGACAACTGTTACCATATTCCAAACATTGTACTAACTGGTGTCCTGTGTAAGACCAACCTGCCCTCAAACACGGCATTCAGGGGGTTTGGTGCCCCTCAGGCAATGTTAGTCATGGAGAATATAATTGAAGATGTCGCCGTCAGTCTGAATATTCCCTCTCATAGGGTGGGTATGGAATGTTGTAAAAATATGTTTAAAAAAAAGATGTGTATAATCAGGAAACTATATCGTAGGCACACTGCATGTATATAGTGGGGAGTTTGCAGGAAGACCTGACTTATCTTGTGCTCTATCCACATCCAAAGTTATCACTTTTATCACACAGATTTAACCTGGTTATTTGTGTTATATAGTTATGCTTCACTTATTCACATTACGACACCGTAAACTGTTTATTGTAACTGGATCAGGCCTTAAACTCTGGTTTTGACTTACCCAGTACGTACGTAAAACTATAATAATATTTATTGTCTGATAAATAACCTTAATATACTTCGCAAGATTACCATTCAATATGCTTTTCATTTGTTGAAGGTCCGTGAGATTAACATGTATAAGGAAAATGACCTAACGCCAAATGGTAACCGGCTGATAAACTGTACTGTAGACCGTTGCTGGCATGAAGTCATCCAGCAGAGTAGATTTTGTTATAAAAAAGAAGACATTGCCAAATTTAACAGGTAATATGGCATTAAAATAGCAGAATCGCCTAAAAAACTTTTACATTATTACGGGGCATTTGAGAATCTTGATCAATTATGAGATAAGTTGCAGATTTATTTGGAGAGCAGTCTAAGTCAATTAACACACATATATATATTTTTTCGGAGGTAACAGATTAAAATCAATAACACTTACAGTAATAGTTTCAAGGTTAACTCTGCTTTCAGAGACCACCGATGGAAGAAGCGCGGAGTTAGTTTGATTCCAACCAAGTTTCTGATTTCTAATGAACGTTTTCTAGAACAGGTACATAAATGTATAAAATGCCCCCTTATATTATTGTACTGTACTGGTACTTGTTCCACAAAGAAAAAGGTTTCATACTGTGCAAAATTGAATTCCTTTATATTTTTACATGTGCATTCTGTAACGTTAATCAATCCTTTTCATGTATTTTCCACTTTTTGGTTATTTTCTGTTTACAAATAATGATAAATGCAATACTTTATAAATAGCATATTCAAATAAAAATGTCCTTTTCTGTTATTTTGTATATAAATATATATTATACTTCAAACGTGACTGGTATACTGGTAGGCATCGTCTTACAACTTATCTCGTTTTGTATGATTACTAGGGGGCAGCACTTGTTCATGTGTACCAAGAGGACGGTTCAGTTCTGATAACACACGGTGGTGTAGAGATGGGACAAGGATTACACACTAAGATGATACAGGTATGACAGTATAAAAGTTTCAGTCTACCCGGAAGTATACCCATAAAGGTGCCGTGATTGCATGCTTTGGCTTTGTTTTTTTTTAATAAACAGGAAAGGTTCATCGGCTGTAAGTCAGTGTACTCGGTATTTATGCTTTAGAGTACAGTAAGCCTGATGTCATCACAGTGGCAAACTGATGATGATGATGAGATTACTGACGCTAGTTTCACTTTTAAGTCCATTTAAAAATGTCCTAAGCTTTTGGGTTTGACTAATATCGATTTAAATATACAGACGACTTCGCTAGATTGTTCTATGAGTGTTAAACAAAGAATCTGTCCAAAACTAATGTAGATGATATACCTTACATCCACTATGGTCACCACTGAGAAGAAGACCATTGTTAAGACTTACACTTTCCCTTTATGTTGATTTAAAAGAAGGAAAAGCTGCATTTTAGATTCTTTGTGAAACGCAACTCGGTTAAAGACAAAAACTTAATTTCCTGTACAGTTCAATAAAGGGTATATCCCTTTAAACGCCCCACCCCCAGAGGTAACTACAATTAAGATAATTAATTGTATTTATGTAGGAAATGGTTTGTTTTTAGTGGTGGTAATAGCTTTGTTGGTAATCCATCTACGCTTTGTTTATAGGAAGTAGTCTGGGTTTAGGTCTTGTGTCTGCACATTTTGATCTTAAGTAGTTGACCAAGGCAAGATGATAACAGATGTCCAGGGTCAAATTGTCTTAGCTGCTGTGTATCTAGGCACACAGTTAATTTTAGATGAGTTTTAGGAAACTACTTCTTGCGAGCTGCATCAGCGAGAAGTCATTCAGCCTTTTAGCTGCGATGATATGTACACGCAATTTCAGCAGCTTCACAGTATTATAATTCCTTTCGTTTCTTTATTTTAATTTTACACCCTCCGCCATCCCCTGTCACCTGCCTTGTGTTGTCTTTATATATATATATATATATATATATATATATATATATATATATATATATATTTTTTTTTTTTTTTTTTTTTTTTTCAGTTGTTGAAGCCTTTGATTTTCTGATTTATATTTATGCCAACCTTTGGCTCTTACAGCTGTTGTTACTTCTTATAATTTGGCCTTTTATTTTTATTTGTGCCAACTTTTTGCTCCTTAAGCTGTTGTTATTACTTATAATTTTCTTCATTAATTTGGTTACACTTATTACACACTTATTAACTACGTATTTTATTAGCTTCGTCATTAATAAATGACAATTATCAATCACATGTACTTTTCTTATTTACTTTGGAGCAAAAACAGAGCTTCGTTGTGCTTGTTAACATTTGGCTACATAAATATATTTTCGGCATCGAACGTACTTTGGTTGATGGTACGGTAGATTTTGAGGTAAGCATGGCCCTTCATTGGAACTCTACCCGTACTACTTTTTTGGGGGAAGACACCAGAAAGGAATCCACCATTATGTTTTGGATCCACTCCTGGTATTCATATTATTATCGACACATATTAGTAAACGTGGTATTATCCTTCAAGGTTGCCAGTCGAGCGTTACAGTTACCAGTCCACAAGTTCCACATCAATGAAACCACCACCAGTGCCGTTCCTAACACCACTGCCACAGGTGGGAGCAAAGGATCGGATCTCAACGGCATGGCTATATTGGTGAGTTGAAACTATAGGGCCGTGAGCATCTTTAGCCTGAGGAAAGTGCTTGCGGACAGTTCTTGACAGTTCTTTGTACCACCTGTGATAATAGACGGCACTTAAAGGAAAAACGGAACACAAAGGCTTATACCCTTTTTAGTTTTAAGATTAAAAGTTCTGATTGGGTTTGTGGCATCTAAGAAATGTTTATTATTTGTCTTACTGTAAGGAAAGGAAAACTTTTAAAGCATGAAGTCAGATCATCATGATCAAGTCGTCTGGTGAGTCATTTTCAAAAACCAGTACACATTTTTGTGTAAATGATTGCGTTGAGCTGACATGAGCTTTGTTTATTGGCATTCAAATAACCATTGATAACGAAGGGTACTTGTTAAGTTATTTAAAAGAAGATGGTTAAGCTCCCTAAAAACAGTGAGAACTAGTACACACACTTAACTCTATACATACCGCATCTATTACAGAATGCATGTAAGACGTTAAGACACCGACTTGAGCCGTATATAGCCGGTAATCCCGGTGGATCATGGGAAGATTGGGTAAGTGATACATGCTTGGGAATGATTATAATTAGTATATTAACAGAAATGAAAACTTATAAAATATGAATTTGATCAGTACAAGTACAGTGCACGTTCAAGCTTTGTGTACATTTTTGTCAGTTCGTTATCTCTGTGTTACGGTAGAAATAATGCTGTGAAAGGACGCTCGGTTTATAATCAACACACTAAAAAGTTAACTATATTTTATATAAAAAAAGGTCTCAATATATAAAAATGAATGTTATCTGTCGTAATTGCAGGTGAAAGCTGCCTATATGGACAGAATCAGCCTGTCTGCAACAGGTTACTACAAGTAAGTCACGTCTTCAAATGTGTGTGTTTAAAAACACAGATGGAACCAAATTGGTAATGTTTTAAAGAAAACACAAATGGACCCAAATCGGTAATGTTTAAAAACACAAATGAACCCAAACGTTCAACCAATTCGCTAAATGAAATGCAAGTCTGTGTTAAAATGCTTATGTTATGTTATTGCATCTATCCCTAACTTTAGAGGCAATATTTTGTTTATAACTTACATGTACGTGTGGGTGAATAATGTATTTCAACTTACAAATTTTTTAGTGTTTCCCTAATATAAACCGTTTGTTAAAACCTTCGGAATAAGGGGGACCCCCTCTCTCCCTAACGAAAATTGAATAGTAAGTAAATATATATTAAGAAAGACTATGTAAACAAAAGCAGTACAAAATGAAATGAAATTTTAATTTTTATCAGGCTGCAATTGCAGTCCAAACCAGGCGGTTGACATTTATTCTTCACCATTGAAGCTTTCTGTCTTCTGAAAGTTTGGCTTCCACTAGTGAAATTGCGTTGTTTTCTTGTTATATTCAGGGTTCCCGATACCTGGGACGATATCTATGTACCTTAGAAGGAGAGCAAACCACGCAGAGGTACTACACATACGGCGCTGCATGCTCCGTGGTTGAAATAGATTGCCTTACCGGAGACCATGTGGTAATGAGTTATAAGTTATACTCGCTGTTTTAATGACACTGTCGTTTTTGTGTTTATCATTTTTAATAAAAAATAGGTAGACTTCTTCCTGACTTCCGTTAAAAATATCAACATATTAATAAAAGGGATCCTCTCTTCTGTTACAGCTAATGATCTTCATTAAACTTACTTTGGCCATAATTCTAAAAGTATGAAATGTTCATTTTCACTATAGTTTATTATTCAGTCTGTAGTATGTATTTACCCATTGTTATACTGTATATTGTTGCGTAGGCGGCCAGCCTAAAGTCAAAGAAGAGTAAATATATATACTGACGTTCTACAAATATCTCTTTATAACATCTAAGGTGTTGCGAACAGATATCGTCATGGATGTTGGAAGAAGTTTGAATCCAGCCATTGATATTGGACAGATAGAAGGAGCCTTTGCGCAGGTGATATAATAATATTAATGATAATAATAATAACAATAATAATAATAATAACAAAAGAAGAAAATTAATATAATTCCTCAAAACTATTGGATTGGCTCCTATGAGTTCAGAATTGTTGTTCTTTATTCATTGGGCAAATATTTTAGAGAGTGCTCTGTTTTTCACATAAGGATAACTTAAAAGCAAGCCATCAGCTCTTTTAAAAAGCAGTAGCGTTTAGAATTATTGTAAAATTCACTCCCTGGATACCACATTAAGCCGCACTAAGATGGCAGAACAAAGTATATGAATAAAGTTAAACAAAAATGTTGTTTTATGGAGGCTTGTAAAACTCCCAACCAGTATATCATTTCATTTTCTGAGAGGATGCATTTGCTTTTAGGGCTATGGGCTATTCACCATTGAACAACTGAGATACTCTTCTGAGGGAAGACTGATAACTAATGGTCCAAACACATACAAGATCCCTGGTTATGGAGACATCCCTGTCGAATTCAATGTGTCTTTACTGAAAGGTGCTTCCAATCCTAAAGCGGTATATTCTTCCAAAGTAAGGATACGCAGAATCTTTAAGAGTTATCCAACATTTGATTTTGCAATTTGTTGGTTGTGTACAGAGAATCCCAAAATACGTATTGTAATACCACAAGTTGATTATGACTTATGTAGTAAAGAGAGCATTTTTTCTTAGCATTATCTCGCATCCAGGCATTAATATAAATTTGATATCGTTTACATGTTAGAAAAGTACCTTTGAGTAGACTTAAACCGCCCGGCTCTTGTTGTTAACAGGGTATAGGAGAACCCCCTTTGTTCCTGGCGTCCTCAGTGTTTTTTGCCATCAAGGATGCCATATCGTCTGCTAGAGCCGAGTCTGGTTTGAAAGGGAGGTTCCGATTGGACAGTCCAGCCACAGCTGAGAGGATCAGGATGGCATGTGAGGACCAGTTTACACGCAAGGTAAACGTGCATTGAGAAAAGGTTGCTTATGTATTGCCAACGAAAACTATTGTTCTTAGGCAATGTACTCGCCTTGATAAATGCTACATCATGTTTTATACACGACCCTGTCTTCCTTTATCTGTATTCTGAACCAAAATATTTTATTTCAATTGAATGGCACTGGTACATACCGACTTAAAAAACACCCTCCTTTGGCTTTGTTGTAGTGTTCACCAAACACTCATCATACCTTGAGGCCAAGGTTTATAGATGTGTAAACAAGTAGGACATGTGACCGGAAAGTTTGGTTCCAACGTTAGTTTGCTTATGTTATAACCAGGATTCAGCCAAAACTTGTCTACGGGTTATCAGGAATATATTTGTGGACTCTTTAACTCCCGATGATAACCGCATGACAACTCGCAATAGAAAATTGGTGGTGAAGGGTTTTCTTATTGGACAACTGTAATCAGAATATAATGGCTGCCATGGATGTACTCAAGACTCTTTAAATATAATCGGTCAGAGCACATGTATGATAGTGCAGTCCAGAGCACTGAGGCATATGTTTATTCGGTACTATTGCGTTAATAATGCTATTAAACATTGTAGTGAAGTAATTGTGATTTTGTCTAAGAATGCACGGGCACCATATTAACAGTCACACCTAAAAGATAACCAGTGACCATACCCAAATACCTGACCGAATTTGGAAGTTATTATTATGGGGTTTCTTTGTAGGTTTTCTAATTTGAAGAACTCATATAACCATCGTTTTACCATTTTATCTTAAGACAGATATGCACAGTATCTGATGTTCACCTCTAATAAATATATTATTATTGTTATCTTGTAATTATATTATTGTTGTTGTGTCTACCATTACAGGTATACCACCAACTAGCGCGTGTTCACGTGTTTTTATTGGTTTTATGGTTGTTTGCCTTACTGCATTGCATTTGATCATATATAAAGGTGTCACTAAAAATTTCTTAATAAAATCACCATAACAACATTCTCTACCTTTTATAGTTCCTAAAAACTGATGCAGAGAAACCAGAAGCTACGGTTTTCGTCAGCAATTAATTTTCATTATCATGATCACTCTTTATAAAAAGCATACCACTTACAAACAGTCGCAGGTACACGGAATCTCACATTTGAACTAGTGGTTATTTTCAGTATCACCACATGGTTGAATCTTTTCAACTACATAAGATTCGTTAAAGTTTAAAAGGGTAATTGCGTCCAGTGGTTTATCACTTTTGTTATCCGTTATGTATTTGCTTCCAGTGGGTCTCGTATTGCAAAGAAGCGGTGTTGCCATCTGTTGTTCTGCATTGGCTGGCGATGTGCATGTCTGGGCAGTGTTCCGGAATTTATTACATGATATGATTATGATCTGAGCAACCAGTATGAAACCATAAAACATCCCCAAGGCGTTGAATACCAATGTATAGGACCTGTATTTGTCCAGAGCGAGTCCTACAATGATATATTCGTTTAGAATTCGAGTGAAAAATTATTTTTAATAATTTGTTATTAATAGGCCTTAATGTACATACTTTTAAGTAATAACAAAATTGAATAAAAATATGTTTATTACATTAAGTTGAACAATTTTACTTTGGTAGTAGAGTTACATGGTGTTTAAAATGTAGAAATAAATAACTTTGAAAAACCTTAGGTATCGCTTAACTTAAGAGAATCAGTGTACATGTTCTAGATAAAGTACATTTCCATAAAGTCTGGAGACAAAAGGAGATATTGATTTGCTTTACATATTTTAAAACTCTAGCTTTGTTAGTTAGCTTCGTTAGCTGTCTACGATATACACCCTTTTAGACACCTACTTTTTTGTATCATTATGGCTAGTAACTCTGTACATGCACTCACCTGATAAAATCCCACCGGTGCTTAATCCAATTCCCCGACCAACAAGCTGAGTGAGGAATAGACCGTGAACACTTTCTCCCCCCAGAACCTCGTTACAGGCAGCAAACCATGCAGCAATGATGGGACCCTGCCCGGCTCCTAGAACTGAATTATTAAAAAAATCATTGATGCCCTTTATATCACAATTAATTAGCAAGCTGGATCATATTATCGTTTCACTGTACATACCAAGTGGCGATGTTCGTATTCAATAAGAGTGCATTCAGAACAACGGACTAATAGATCCACAGATCAAATATGGCCGACCCACTTGAATGCTGGTTGCGTAATCCCCGTGGTAAATGCATTCAATGTCAATTCGGGAAGTAAGCGGCAAGCTTATAAGTGGCTCACCATATTTGATCCGCGGATCTGTAAGGCGGCTGTTCTGAATGCCCTCTTAAATTATCTGGCGCCATTTTGTTCACCACCATGGAGGAACGTTCTATATACATCTTTATTTTGTGAATCAGATACTGCATGATTTATCAAGTGACATTTATATCCAATTACCATAGCGTTTATAAATTTTTCCCGATTTTCAAAAATTGAAAGGTTTAAAAATCAAGATCTACCTGCGCCAAATGAGACAACACCCGCTAGTGATCTGCTTAAAGGTATAAGAAAACAAGCAAGCGCCAACATCAATGCGCATCCGGCGTACACGTATAACAAGTAACCCTTGATAAAATCTCCTAATATCCCGATAAAAAGGCGAGAAAGTGCGTTGGTCACGCCGAACGCCGTTAGAGTATATGTGGAAGTCAGGCCGTGAAACCCCTGGTCTTCAGCGTATTTTACCTGTAACGCACAGTTAAGGAGTTGTGATATTCTGGGTGCAATATGACAGCATACCCAGATCCAAAATACAAAATACAAGAATCAATAACATTGTTAAGTAAATGATACACAAGTGATAGTATTGCAGTGATGTGAAGTGCTATAAGTAATGTAAATGAAATAGAATACGAAACGGTATATATCGAGGTGTGTTAAGTTTTTTCAAGTTAATGTTCAAGTAGGTACTTCAGAGTTGCACTTTTGGCGGCATGCAATTCAATGCGCATCCATTTTGCATCAATTTTTCATTAAATGCATTAAATGTCTTCGCGGTCTTACCAAAAAGCTATAAATCACTGATTGGCCTAGCCCTTTGCACACAGCCGTCAGAAACCACAAGGTCATCAAGGTCATTTTAATCCATTTTCCCCAGGGTGTAGTATGCAGGTCATTGTCATCACGCTTTGAACAAGCCACTTCTTCTGGTTTTGGCTCTCGATAAACAAATCCGGTAAAAACGACGAGGAACACGCCAAATATGAGCAAGAAGATAAACGAGTATCTCCATCCAGCAGTAATGATTATCCATCTTATAAGCAGGGGCATCGTTGCGAACCCTGAAAGTCAAATGGTGATTTATCAGTAATCGAAAATATAAGTAACCTTTAGATTTTATCGGATGTTAAATGATAGGTATATGTGAAAAAATCAGGAACTCTACGCTATATGTGAGATAAGTGCGTAAAACATATATACGCCTGTTTTGTGATGTAGTGATAAGGTTAGAGTGAAATATAATGATAATTTGAGGTTTGGCGTAAGCGCAGAACTCAATTCCGACCATTCCACAGTATCCCCCAAAATATGTTTCCTTCCTTAATTTATCTTCTCCACATATTCCAAAAACAAAAGGGAAACATGAGGGAATGATCCTTGTCTCAGCTCCTTTGAACTCAGCTGGTTGGAAAAGTTTTATAAAGAAAACGATAATATTAATATGGAAAGGAAAACACTGTTACTTGATCCATACAACGACATGCAGCGTGATCAATACTATCGCCGTGTCTCTTTACCTGATGGAATGACCATCATTTGAAAGCTGGTGGCAAGGACATGGTAACGATGGTGCCACGGAAACCACTTGTTCAAAAGGAATGACATCGGGGCCATACAGAAATTCATTCCAAATCCAACAATCACTGGACGAGAAATTAGCAGGAACGCCATGTTTGGTGCAACGGCACTTAAGCCCTGTCCCAGACAGCAAAGTCCCAAACCAATCCGTATGGTCCACGGGCGTCCAAGTATATCGGCTATCAAATTTGTTAGATAGCTGGGGACGAGCATGAAGGCCAAAAACAGTGACTGGTTCAGCCCTGAAACACGAATACATTCTTGTCATGCATCAAAATAACGCAATTCCAAACAGGAGTCAAAATGAACGAGTGATAATTGTCCATAGGCAGATAAACAGATAGACAGATTTATCATTCTTATTTAGAATGGTGAGCATAAGAATTATAGAAAACCTTTTTTTTTCTTTTTCACAATATCCTCAGAAAAGTCATATCGATCGAGGTGCAGCCTCGTGATATATTGACCGAAAGCAAAAACCAATAATTATTATTATTATATAAAAAGATATAATGTCATTTAACACCTCAATAATATCAAGGATATGCCATCGATAGTTGCAACATTGCTGTTAATCGACATTGATTTCGTCTGAATGAATACACGTCATTTACCAATACGAAGGTTTATCACATCTCACATTATAGATATAATACCGTGATGTCCGTTAAAATTATGTAATATTATATATATATATATATATATATATATATATATATATATATATATATATATATATGCTTCATGACTTCAGAACGTGCTAGCACACTGGTTACAGTTTCTGTAAAGCAGGATTCGACCTTATTTGCCACACTTGTTTTCTTGTTTTCAGTGGGATAGCTTAATTTGTTTTTCGGTACGTGAGGCAGCAGAGATGGTGCAGTGCGGGAGATTCCTGCCTCATTTGGCTCCGTATCTATGGTCTGCACATCTGTTCTGTACAGTACAAAATGTCCAAAAGTGCGAATGCCACATCTTGGTCGCCACTTTGACTGGATTCCCATACCTAGATCGATCTAACAGGTTCGATCTATCTCCAAAGGGTTTCTCGCTTAATTGCTTTCAGATTAAGCGGTTTAGATGTCTGGCACGCCTACTGAAGCTGCTAAACGATAATTAACTTCCCCCTAGCAGCTTGAGTAGGCGTGACAGACATCTAAGCCGCTTAAGTTGATAGCTATTTAGCGAGAATCCCCTTGAAGATTGACCGATCCACAATCAGTACGATAGGGTCTGGGAATGGTCCTTTCTACGTGGCTCTCTCTCTCCCTCTTTCTTTCACATGTTACTCACTACACATACCAAAGAGAGAGAGAAACTAAGGACTTACCTAGTATAAAATCGGAGCTAAACATTGGCGAACCGGACTGGCTAAATACTGGAACAAGCTCAGCCCAAGTTGTAATCATCCCTGCGAGAAATACCGACATCGGTATGATTGCAACCAGCAAGAAGTAGCCATGATATGCCATTTTCCTGAAGAAAAATTCCTCTTTTTAGAGTAAATTTTGGATGAAATGCTATTTTTTTAAATCAAGTTACACTTTCACTGGAAAGTTGATAAAGTGTCAAATTTTTTAAAGTTTAAATTATATTTTAATTATATGTAAGTAATCCATTTTTGGAAATGACATGAAAAAGTGTATACAAAAAGTGTGTACAAATTTATTGAAAAAGTCCATCGACTCTGATGACGACCGGGATATGTCCAGCTGATGCTGTTGTATCCAAACAGACTTGAATTTCATATAAAATATTATTTCCAAATCTTTTTTCTCCGATTTTTTCTAATTTTAGTGTAATAGGTTAAAACAAAGTCTGAATTCGCGTATTTAATACTTTAAATAACATCTTCAGTGTCACTGTGACTTCAGTTATTTATGAATTTAAAAAAATACATGGATCTCCATATTTTTCTTAATTATCAAGTGTTAAATAATTACAAGCTCCACAAAGGACACCCATATCAGGGTTTGGTCAGATCAACATCAGTGGTGCGCCTGGTCTCATCTGGCTGATGCCAGGGCTGTCAAGCGCCAAGGCATTGCATCTGACAGGTTTCTTAGAGTTTGATCTGGAATAACTTTCTGGACAGGAATCGATCAGTACTTGTTCATGTTGGTACAAATTTATTGTAGGACCAGAAGACCCTGGATTTGTTGAGTAATAATTACCCACAGGTTGTTTATTGGGTTTTAATGTTACGATCTCGATGGCTACGGTAGCTGCGCAGTCTCTCAGTTCTGCAAATTATCATCACTGCAATTTTTCTTCTTCCCGGTGATAAGGTTGTCGAATGACAGGACGAATCTCACCTGCACCAATTAATGGGAAACGGACTAAAGTTTCTTGCGGACTTTCATTCATGTTACACCGGACGGCTTCCTAGGTCCGCTGTATCTTCTATTATTTATATGGACAACACATGTACTCTCTAAAATCTCGCATCAGTTCAATTTTGAAAACTTTCTGGTCCCGCTTAAGATCAAGGATAGTGATTAACGAAAGATATACACTTTATGATTATTGACGCTGATTTGAAAGAAGGAGGGGCAATTTGCGTGTCAGGGTTTAAAGCAAATACTGTATATAACGATACACTAACCCAGGTGCTGTGTATAGCCAACTAATGCTTATAGTCCTGTTGATTATGACCACGTTGAGTCGAACTACTTGTATGAATGAAATGCTTATATTTAATACTGTTGAATGCAGTCTAATGTAATAGTAACTTCACAGCAAAGACGTCTCACCGCATCAAGATGATCAAGACTCACAATATGCATAGCATGGTTATATTCCCGTTTGATTAAATAACCAATGGAATACCGGGTACATGTACAATTAGTCTTGTTAAAAGAAATACCTATAACTCAGAGTAATGATGATAAATATCATTTGGGAGATTAAGCAACAAGGCAAATGGCTTACCTGTAAAAATAAAGATAGAATGGTAGAGTGAAGACGTCTGTCCGTCCTGCTCACGAACTATGTAATGTCTGAGAACGGCCACGACCAGCTCATATCGATGATAGCATGAGGAGAGTAAGAGAATTATCCAACGAAAATTTAGGGATCATAAGGCTAGTGGAACTGAAAAGATTAGACAACAGACTGCAATTATAAGAGGAAATAACCAATTTTGTGAGGTAAGGGAAGTTAAGATAAGATAAAGGTTTATTTCCGTAACAATAATAAGTAACGTAACATACAGTATCATTAAAACAGCGTCGTTCTATCAAAAACAGTAAAAACTGTTTTGATAAAAAGTTGAAATCTTTTTATCTAAAAGGAATGCGGCTTCATAAAGGAAGCTGCATAAAATTGTTTACTACCCTTAAAAACTAAAAGCTTGGAGTTGCTTGGTAAAAATTTTATAATGAGTTGAGTTGATGGACACTGGATGGCCGTGAAATTTGATCTGATAACAATCTGATCAGTTATGGCAAGCTACGGTCTACCGCCTGCAATTTGAAGCAATTGGCTAAAATGCTAGCTGACTTTTCTTGTTACAGAGCTACATGTATCTTTGGTAGGAATATGTTTATCCTACACATGTACCTGGCGTACAGTTCCGTCAAAATTTCCCTGCTGGTTAACTGGAAAACTAGGACTATTACAAGTGGGCTAGACGCTGTTAACGTACAAAGAACAGTTACGACAAGGCCTTTCTTATACCAGGCAAAATTAATACTGTCGTTGTGAGACATATTTTTTTTTCGAAATTCTGGAACAGTATGGTGGTATACTCGATTCCTCACTGTTCAAATGACGACGGGTTTTGTGGATATTAACAATCACCTCTTGTGACACTTTACGAACAAATACAGGAAGTCTGCATGCATGGGGGGGGGGGGGGGAGGGGGGCGGGTCATCAATACATGCAGACTGGGTTCCCATACCTAGATCGATCTAACAGGATTGATCCATCTCCGAGGAGTTTCTCGCTAAATTGCTTTCACCTTAAGCGGCTTAGATGTCTGTCACACCCATTGAAGCTGCTAAACGATAATTTCAATTAAAAGTACCCCCTAGTAGCTTCAGTAGGCGTGACAGACATCAAGGTCGCTTAAGTTCATTGCAATTTAGTGATAGTCCCCTTGGAGATAGATCGATCCACAGTTAGTACGATAGGGTCTGGCAATGGTCCCGTAGCCTCACTAATACAGGACAATACATGTACACAGCACCCGGCTCACTTAGTATCCAGGCCCTAGTGGCATGACAAATGGAGATGTATTGGATGCCGATCTTTGTCAATTTACCGTATTATCTATCTGGTCAATCTGTAACAAACCATTTAATATCAATTACAAAATTGGACGATTCAGATAATACTGATGTGCATTCCACACCTTTCAAATCAATAATTGCTAATGATTAGAGGGTGATGATGCGTTTCGGATTGGATGTCGGTTTATATGACTTCGACGACAATGTAGACACCTACAACGAAATTATATTACGAGAACAAGCCTCTTTTCCCGGCTGTTACGCCTCCAATTGCCGTGGAAAAATTTGAACTTCACATAAAGCAACTAACGAAGGGCAAAATAAGAGTGTCTTTTAGCCTATAAAAAACGTAAAATATCGTAAAATATGAAAACAACTTACCCTCAACAAAGAGCGTTTTGATGCATGTCGTCTTCTGTCTCCACATCTGTCTTTGATATTCGATCTATAAAATTGTGGAAAGTGCGTCTTGGATTAATATTTTTCCCTGCTTTTGATCCCATACATTAAAATTTGAATAAAACAAGCATGTATACCCCTATCCTTTTTTAAAAGGACAAGGAATATACTTAAAGCATGTGTTAGGAACCCATATTTCTCCGCGGCATTCTTTTAAATTGCCGATCCGAGATGTAAAGTAGGCCTACAACCGGTGTAACATGAAAGTCTGACTCCCGGAGTCAAAATTTCATAATGAAAAGCTGACTCCCCCATGAAATTTTGACTTCCCCCACAAAACTTCATAAAACTTATTTCATTTGAGAATATGACTAAAATTGTCTTGTAGTATGCATAACGGAGGATACATGTTAGTTTGCAGGTGGAAATCTTATGAGAAAATAAGAAAATTAAAATGTGTTGTTTTTTTTTGCCACCCAATGGCTCCCCTATGAAAAAGCTATTTTTTTATATTTGGTGATCATTTCAACGTATTTCCTTTTAGTTTACCTAATGAAGAATGTATTGGAATTATTTGAAAGTTTGATAGTGAAATATTGGGTGAAAAAAAAAAAGAAAAGAAAATCACGAAAAATATTCATTTTCATACCCATGCCATTTGGATTTCCATAGAGAAAGGGCCCCTTTTTATATTAAGTCACCATACCATTATTTTTCCACATAGTTTGCATTGTGACGTACAAATCCTAGTGACAGCTACAAAGTACCTGTAATGCAAAGGGCCTATAACTGCAGGTGTTGTAAGCAAGTTGCATTTGAAATCGCAAACTGTTATAAATCAGGACCCCGTAACTCGAAAGCATCGCGCGTTGCGACCGAGCACAAGCGTCTCGATTCCAAAACTCGCCCTTACTCGCCCCATTGGGTGAGGTCAGAATTCCAGGTATGCTATGTGTTAGGTGTTAGTGTTACAGATCTGTTAACATTCCTGTTAACCCAAATAAGAAAACATGGAGTTCAGGTAAACAGTCTGTTGACATATGGTCAGCATCCTGCTATTCTGCTGCAGCATGTTGTTAACAGGCTGATAGCCCCATGTTGACCCATTTCCTGGTGTGTGACACCAGCAAGAATAGCACAGTGGGAATCCCCAAGTCAACTTAAATGTGTGCAGTAGACAGAGCCTACATACAAGTTTGAAGTGAGCAGGTCAGTTTGCAGTTTGACTATACATGTACAGTTTATGTTGTTCTTTACCATGACACCAACACTAACATATTCAGTCTTGACCTCTTGTAGATGTAACATCTGCTTAACCACTTGGATGGTTAAGCTTTCTAAAATTAAGATGAATTCAAATGTTTTATTGCTGACGTGCTAAATATCGAAAGCAGATAAGCTAAAATAATTCTGTGATAACCCCTCGTTGATCCCTACAGAAATGGATAAGCAATTGAAAGTTTAAGCTGAACATTTTTTAGTTTGCTCTGATTAATTTAACATTTTATGTTACAGAGATGTTTGGTGTAACACCGTCTGTTACAGGAACTGTAGTTTTCAACAGATCTGCTACACTAACATTGGTGTTTCACTGGTGTTTAGTAAAAGGTCAGAATTGTTGATTAATGTAACATATATGTAACATATCTGTAACACTAATACCTAACACATAACATACCTGGAATTCTGACCTCGCTCAATGTAGCCTCTATGTGATATCGCAATTCGCAAAACGCGATGCTTTCGAGTGACGGGGCCCTGATGAATTAAAAAAGAATCGCCATCCAATCCCTAAGGACTAGATAAATTTACCATACATAATAATAATAATGACAATAATAATAATAATAGTAATAGGAACTGTCACGACTGTATACATTGGGAGTGGATAAGATCAGCTGGTGGCCTCATGTGAACTGCAAAGTGGGGTTTAAGAGGGTGAAGAGGGTAAAGAAACAGTAAACAGCTATTTGGCGACGTGAGAATGCCGATGAAAATTATTTTTCAAAATAATATTACTATAGAATAGTGTATGGGGTTTGAAATTAAATTTCTACACATAGCCTATATATATATATTTACAAACTGTTCCTGCAGGCAGTATATTGCACTTTTTTTAAATATTGATTGTGACAGTTGCACTCACTTTCTTTTTGCATTGCGACGGCTGCTTTGTACAGTGCCATTTATTTGTCCCCAAAATGTTAGATGTAGAATTTTCTTGTACGTGTTGCAGATTTTGTTGTTAACTGAGCAAGAATGTACATGCTCGCCAAAAAGTTTTACACCGGACACTCGAGGGCCAGGCTCTCTTTGGAAATCATACACGGTGCTTTATGGGTACTTTATGAAGCGCGGAATGTAGCTACACTGTAAAATACAAGTTCAAAACTTTCACTGGCAGATCAGATACTTCACCCCTGCTTGAACCCACCAACCAAAGAGACTAGTACACGTATGTCCAAAATAGGCAAAAGTGAACATCGGAAACGGGTTTACAAAAACAGCCACTACAATGAATAAAATATGAATAGAACGGTTGACATTTGGCCTATTATGCCTCGTGCAGTTGGGCCAAGAGCTACCCAATTATGCCGTTAAATGATAGGCATCGTATATCTAACGTACACACAGATTATACTAAGTACAATGTTAATGTACTAGTACACTCTTTACAGATTATGGCGTACAGGTAGAAGTACACGGGTTCTCAAATAAATAAAAAGAGCTTCCTCTTGATCGGGTCCTATTTCATATCAATGGGCCTTATTCTTCGTACGTTGTAGTTCGGGGTGAATATAATTTCATTAAACCATTGTTCACAAAGGAATGCATTTAAGAAAGACAACTTTCTGTTTTGCTGATAAATTTGCATCTTATTGCTTGCACATTAGTTTATATCAAAGCACAAACAAATCCTTTAGCACATAACAAAACAAGGTCACTCAAAAGTTAGTGGCACCAGTGTATGGCAATAAAACGTAGGCATGCCATACTGAATGGGACAATGTAACTGAGCAATCAAAGGCCTAGAATTCTCGATCGATCAGGTGCCGTGCTTGGTCGATGGAACGCCAAGCCTTTCGGCCACGTGAAGCGTCTGCACATTTGTTGGTCGTTGCTTCTGTCCACTCTCTGTTGTTGCTTATGCAAGTGCGTCTTGGCAAAGGGCACATGCATGGTAGGCCCTAATTCGAACTAATGTTTACTTTCACTATCACCACGCGGCTGAATTTTTTTGATTGCATAAGATATGATAGAGTCCAAAGGAGTCACTGCCTCCGATGTTTTATTACTTTTGTTCTCCGTTATGAATTTGCTCTCGGTGGGTGTCGTATTGAAAAGAAGCGGTGCTGCCATCTGTTGTTCTGCATCGACTGGCGATGGGCATGTCTGGGCAATGTTCCGGAATTTATTACATGATATGATTATGATCTGAGCAACCAGAATGAGACCATAAAACATCCCCAAGGCGTTGAATACCAATGTATAGGACCTGTATTTGTCCAGAGCAAGTCCTACAATGACATGAAGTGAAAAATAATTTTTAGTAATTTCTCATGAATAGGCCTTCATGTGCATAGGCCTATTCTTACATATATGAACACAATTGAACAAAAAACATGTTTGTAACATAACGTTGAGCTATTTTACTTTAAGTGGGGTTACATGGTGTTTAAAATCTAGAAATGAAGAATTTAGTAAAAATCGCTTAACTTAGAGTATCAGTGTATATAACATACATTTTCATCAAGTCTTTAGAGACATTTATAAGCTTCAGATATTTTAAAACTCAAGCTTTGTTTGCGTCATTTTTTGGCTGATCTGTGGACGATATACAGCTTTTTAAAGACCTACTCTTTTTTATTTTTGCTAGTACCGGTAGCTCTGTCCACTCACCTGATAAAATCCCTCCGGTGCTTAATCCAATACCCCGACCAACAAGCTGAGTGAGGAATAGACCGCGAACACTTTCTCCCCCCAGAACCTCGTGACAGGCGGCATACCATGCAGCAATGATAGGTCCCTGTCCAGCTCCTAAAACTGAATTATTTTTTTATAATCATTGATGTCCCTTTTTATCAAAATTTGCAAGGCGGATCATTCTATCCTTTTTCTTCCATGCCACGCAGCGTTGTTCATATCCAATAACATTATCTGGCGCCATTTTGTTCACCACCATGGAAAAACGTCCCATATACACCTTTATTTCGTGATCCAAATACTGTACGATAAATCAAGTATATCTGAAGTCCTATAGTATTCACGTCCCAAAAACAATGGGGTCTACCGAAATTATACACTTCAAGGGTATACCTATGCATATACCAAAAATTTTAATCCAATTGCCAAACCGTTAATTTTTCCGATTTTTCGAAAACTGAAAGGTTTAAAGGGATAATAACTCTTCGTATGAGATCTATATTTCACAATAAAAACCTTGTGAATAACTCATAGAAATATAATATATTCTGTTTTACCACAAAAACAGCAGTTATAGCTTTTATTCTGATATCTGAACTTAATTGTCTTTAGACCACGTGACCTCCATTGATGTCTATACTCTGTTAAAATCTCTTAAGAGATTTTAACAAAAAACCAAACTTTTTAGAAAAAAAACAGGGACTAACTTTGAATGTAAAAATGGATTCATTAACCATTGGTAAGTATGGGAAAATTGTTGTTTACTCCAGGAAAATTCATTTTTTGGCCGAAACAAAGAGTTATTATTGCTTTAAAAAAATCAAGATCTACCTGCACCAAATGAGACAACACCCGCTAGTGATCTGCTCAGAGGTAAAAGGAAACAAGCAAGTGCCAACATCAGGGCGCATCCGCCGTACACGTATAACAAGTAACCCTTGATAAAATCTCCTAATATCCCGATAAAAAATCGAGAAAGTGCATTGGTCACGCCGAACGCCGTTAGGGCATATGTGGAAGTCAGACCGTGAAATCCCTGGTCTTCAGCGTATTTTACCTGTAACGAACAGTTAAGGGGTTGCGCTATGCCGAATGAGTGCATAATGACAACATGCCTAGATAGAAAATAGGACAATACAAGAATCAACTTAACACATCAAACGAAACACGTTAAGATTACGTGGTTATATTGGTACTAGAGGTATAGCAACATTTTAAGTAATGCGTAAATAAGTTCTAAATTGGTTTTAGGTTTTTAATAAAATACGTTAATGCCGCAGTACTTACATACTCGAGACCTGTACGTCTACTGCGTTCAAACCTGACTCGTGTAACAATAAATATTCACTATACGGTCATCTACTGCGTTAAGGTCAATGACCTTACCAAAAAAGTATACGCCACCGATTGACCCAGCCCTTTGCACACAGCCGTCAGAAACCACAAGGTCATCAAAGTCATTTTAATCCATTTTCTCCACGGTGTAGTATGCAGGTCATTGTCACCACGGTTTGAACTTGTCACTTCTTCTGGTTTTGGCTCCCGATAAACAAATCCGGTAAAAACAACAAGGAACACGCCAAATATGAGCAAGAAAATAAACGAATATCTCCATCCAGCAGTGGAAATTATATATCTTATAAGAAGAGGCATCGTTGCGAACCCTGAAAGACAAGCAATGACATATTTCAAAATCTAAAATATATTGTTATGATTTTTTGTAATTGTAAGAACAGGTATATTCAAAATATATGAGAACCCAGCGCCTCAAGAAGGTCAAATGAACATAAGTATGATATGATATTTTAAAGATACATACAAAGTCAATTTTTTGTCATAAAAAGCAACCAAATGCCAGCATATAGTTTCAAGTAGCATAACTAAGAGAATTACCAAAAGACATTGTTTAATTTTACCCGAAAGTGATGTTTGAACAGATTTTTCTGCTAGCAATCTATGCTGTATGTCAATGGGGCAGAAAAGTAGGTCACGAAAGTAGGTTAAATTGACAACCAAAAATTTAAAGAAAGGAGCACTCTAAAGCTCTTTTATGGTTGATCGGGTAATTTATTCAGTTTATCCCTTGGCATGTCGAATTTATTAGAGTCGTAGAAGAAACTAGAAGAAGTGGTTTACATGTGTTACTGGGAATCCGCGCTCCACCGATGCTCGGTTCGTATGAACCTTTAAGGAAAAAAGATATGAGCCTAGTGTNGGTTGATCGGGTAATTTATTCAGTTTATCCCTTGGCATGTCGAATTTATTAGAGTCGTAGAAGAAACTAGAAGAAGTGGTTTACATGTGTTACTGGGAATCCGCGCTCCACCGATGCTCGGTTCGTATGAACCTTTAAGGAAAAAAGATATGAGCCTAGTGTTTGGCACCCTAGTGAGGTAGTGGTTCATGAAGTTTTGCTTTGTAATACAAATGTGAGGTATAGGGTCAAAGCAACTCCCGGTCCGAACCCTACATATTGAAAATTTATTTTAGACCAATTCACATGTATGCCCCATTACATTTTCCCTTTCCTAAAAACTATCAAACCTCTAAATATTTCACGTACAAATAAAAATTAATGAAAAGGGGGAATGAGCGAATGCATCCTTTCTTAATTAACTCCAAAGAATTAATTTAGTTAAAGTAACGTGGCATTTTTTAAAAAAGAGACACGATGGCGAATATGA